CTCCTCCTCGCCCCGCCTCTTGCCGGGGGCCTCCGCCTTCTTCTCCTCCGCCCCGACCGGCGCCTTTTTGAAGGTCCTGTCGGCCGGGGGGTGCCGCTCGTCGGGGGCGCGCTTCTTGTGGCCGGGGGCGCGCGCCTCGCCCTCCTCGCCCGACTTGATCTTGGCCGCCTGCATGCCGTTCTCCATGTACTTGCTCATCACGATCACAATGCGCCCGTTCTTGTTCTTGTTCCGCACGATCTTCATCTTGCCCCCGATCCCATTGCCCGCCACGGCCTCCTTGGGGGCGGGCGGCAGCCCGTTGGGGAGGCCCTTCTCCGAGCCCTTGCCCGCGGCCCCTCCGGACAGGGGCTTCACGGCCCCCAGGTAGCCCTTGGCCGCCGCGCCGTGCGCCCACTTGTCCGGCGGGTGGCTCTTGGCGCCCAGGTCCAGGCAGGTGGGGCTGGGCGCCTCCTTGTGGCCTCCCTGGTACTGCAGGTCGTACATCTTGGGGTCCGGCTGGTAGGGGTGGTGCTTCTTGCTGTTCAGCTGATAGTAGTGCTTGCCGCCGCTCTTGCCGGGCGGCGGGGGCTTGCCCGACCGCTCCTTGCTGTGAGGCTGGTACTGGTGGTGCTTCTTGCTGTTGAGCTCATACTGGTGCCCCTTGCCCTGCGCGCCCAGCTCTAGCTTGGCACGGTTGTCAGCCGAGGAGTCTTGGAGCCCCGTGAGCACGTTGGACCGTCGGGCAAAGGTGGGTACCTAGGCATGTGCGGGAGGGAGGGGAGAGGTCGGCCCTGGGCATGCGCGGAGCAGGGGAGTGCCCCTGGTCTCCAACCCCCCCCCCCCGTCCATCGTGGGAGGCATGCGTGGGAAGCCTTGGGGGACAGGGACTTGTAGTGCCCCAGAGGACCTCCCACCACCCTCCACGCCCCCAAGCAGCCCAGGAGTGGGAGGGGCCTGCGTTCACCTGCACCACCAGCGGCTTGGGCTTGGGCCCTCGCTTCCGATATCCCATCAGCTGCTCCTGCCTTTCTCTGAGGAGGGCACAGAGGGCCTGCGGGTTAGCGCCCACGGCCTCCCATCCCGGCTTCCGCGTCCCGAGCCCGGCTCACCCCCAGATCCGCAGGATGCCAAGGGATTCGCCACTGGGGGGCTGAAGGTTGCCTCCACTGCAGGAATCCCCAGCAGCACCCCGTTTTGTGCTGACACCAGACCTCACCGGGTGGTGGGGGCACTCCACCCCTGATACTCTTTCTCTGATCCAGGACACGCTGCACCCGGTGGTGCTTGGACCTGAAGTGTGGGGCTGGGCTGCAACCTCGGGCTAGTGACTGTGCCAATATGGAAGGGACATGGTGGGGGGGGAGTGTCCAGGGAATATAGGCAGCCCAAGGGGGGAGGAGTGCACCCAGCTAGACCCACCAGGTCAGAAGCCCAGGAGGCTAACGGCCCCGTCCAGACTCAGATAACCCCAGGCAGCAGAAGGGTGGACAGTTTTCTTACAGGCCAGGCCTAAACAGGGGGAGGGGCTGCGTTCTTGTTTATACAGCAGCAAATGAGCCAATTAGGGGCTGGGGCGGCTGCAGAGGCCGGCTGCAAGGCCAGGGTCTAGCCCGGTTCTGGGCGAACTGGCCTGGCACCACACCAACTCAGCCAGTGAGCAGGGCAGGGACGGCTCAGGGAAGCACCGCCTCCTCGCCTGGGACCAGACGGACACAGCCCGGATTTCCAAATGATTAAGACACCCCCTGGGCGAAGGCACCAGCCACCACTGACAGCTACTAGGTGTCGGCCTTGGGGCCAGCCAAAGAGCCCAGTGGTTCTAGACCCTGGCTGGCCCGCCATGGGAGAAGGGGCTGCCTCTCCGGAGTGAGCCAACGTTGCAGGGCAAGCCCGGGTCACAAACCCATCTTCCAGGGCTTGGAGTCCCCTGGGCCAGCTCAGGGGAGTTCTGCCTCACTCTGGGGCCAGGCAGGAGCCTGACTCCAAAGTTGCATGGCATTGCAACAGCCCGAGTTCTAATTCTTCGGGGACCCATTAAGCATCATGGCATCAGCCGCTGACTCCCAGGTGGAGCCGGCGCAGGATTCCTGCCCGGCAGGGCGCCCCCCCCTCCCACGGGAGAGCAACTTTCCAGCCAGACACTCGCTTGCTCGGAGGTAGAGAGTTGAACGTTTTAGGGCACAAGTGCCACAGGAAATAATGCAAAATAAAAGAGGGAGGAGGGAAGCAAGGCATGGGGTGGCCCAGCTACCAGCGCCCCCGAGGCTCCTCCCTCCACACCCTTCCCCCCCCTTCATCCTCCCGAAACAGAGAACCACAGCCAGCGGCGGCCAAGCCAGCTGCAGCGGCTGCTGGTGACAGGCATCAGTGCACAGGATGAGCCCCCCCCCCCCCCCCGCCCCCCTCACCCCCAGTCCACCCCACCAACACCGGGCACTGCCCACCCCAAGGCCTTGGGCCCAGTTTTTCCTGCTCTGATGGGGCCTCTTGACCCACCAAATAGCCCAGTGGGGGGGTGGGAGAGCATGGACTTCAGTCAGCATCTACTCCCAGACACCCCCAGCTTCCTGAGGGGTGAGGGTGCGGCCCTGAGGCCCGGCCAACTTTTCTCCAGCCGCCAACAGGTTAAGTTCAGTTCCGTTTCACAATGCCAGCTCCTTCGAGCTGCCCTGTGAGGCACCAGTGCCAAGCTGGCCAGTGGCTGGTTGCAGAAAGCAACACCTAGGCTTTGGGGGCGGGGTCCCAAACCTCAGCGGGGAACCAGGTGCGGCCAGGGGTTCTCTCTGGGAAGCTGCAGGCCCACCCACAGGCTCCCTTCCTTCCCGCAGTCGCCCCCACACACTCCCCTACCCTCCCCAACACAAGCCTGGCCTTCCCCAGCCCTGCCCCGCCCCCACTCTCCACTGCAGCAACCGCCAAGGACGTTGGTTAGAGCAGCGGAGGCCGCAGCCCTGCGCGTCCAGGCTCGCCGCCCCCTCCACCGCCCTCTCTCCCCTTAGCTCCCTCGGCGTCGCCCACATTCCCATTCCCATATACGGTGGCGCTGACCGGCAGCCGCAGCTTGGGGACGCTCACCTGTTCTGGAAGGCAATCAGCAGCCGGGGATCCAGGATATTCTCCTCCGGTTCCCACGTGTTATATCTTGCAAGGAAAAGGCAGGGGGACACGGTGTAAAAAAGAAAAAAAAAAAAAAAGAAGGAGCCAGCTCTGTGGCCTCCAGGTGGAGAGTGACATAAGCACTGCTGTCTCCATAAGCCAGAAAAAAAAAAGCTCTTCAGCTGTGGGTGTGGAGGTTGGGGGGGGGGCTAGATTTCTGCAGGCCTAACATGGTCCTCCTACCCTGTCTGCCCCCCCTTCCCCACGCCCCAGCCAAAATAAACACACCGGGCAGGAAGAAAGGGGAGGGGTGAGGAAAATGAAACTAGCAGTTTATTTTGCAGTTGTCAAGAATTTTTAAGCGTGTCACCGCGACGTGTTCCTAAGCCACTCGGCGTCCTAGGAACCCGGCGCGCAAAACAGCCGAAATGTGGGGTCCAGCTGGCCCCCCCTCCTCTTCCTCCTCTTCTCCCCAACCCGAGTCTGGCCTGAGGTTCCAGCCGGTCTGCATTTGACCCCTAATCCGATCACCGGCAGCTCAGAGGGGGCCCCCCCGCACCCCCTCGCGGCCTAGGAGACCGCTGTCACGGGCAGGCCACCCCCAAATCGTCAGCAACGCAGCACTGTGCCTGTGTGCGCGCGTGTGTGCGTGCGTGCGCGCGGGTGCCTGCGCCTGCTCCATCCGGTGCCTTCGCATTTCGAATTAAAGAAAAAAATTGGCCAGCCCCGCGCCGCGGTGACAGGCCCGGGCCGGGCCCCCCGCCCGCGGAGGCCGACGCTGGCGGCCGTCCCCGCCGTCCCCGTCCGCGTCTCTCCCGGTCTCCCTCTCTCCCTCTCCCTCTTTTTTTTTTTTGGTTTTGCAATATGGAGCCGTTCGGAGGAGGGAAAGGGGAAAGGAGCCATTTTCTGCACATCAGTCAGTGCCTGCGCCCGCCCTCCCTCCGCCGGCCTCCCCGGCTCGGCCCCGCGGCTCCCCGGCTCCCCGGGCTCCTTTTAGTGCATAAATTAGTGCTGGCATTTCCCGGAGAGCCGAGCCCCACAGAGGGCGCCGGGCTCGGGCTCGGCGGCGGCGGCGGCGGTTCGGCTTCCCAGTGCCTGCCACCGACCTCCCCACCCCCTCCTCCTCCCTCCGCCCCGGCCGCTCCCCGCCACCCCACTCCCCTTCCTCTCCTCCCTCCCCAACTTTTCCTTCCTCCCCCTCCTCTCCTCTCCTCCCCCCAACCTCCTCTGCACTCCTCACAGTGCTCCGCCCCCACACTGCCCCACACAATCTATGTCTGCCCCACAGCACCCCGCATCCCTGCCCAGCCCCTGCTGCTCACACCACAGCCCTCACACCCGAACCTTCAACCCACCCTGTCCCCAGGACGCCATGGAGTTGGCAACCTGCATGTGCCGGTCCCACACACACACACACACACACACACACTGTCCACACTGCACTCCATCACACCTGATCACCTATACACACACACACACACACTGTCCACACTGCACTCCATCACACCTGATCACCTACACACACACACACACA